ATATAAAAGAGGGGATAAGTACGGTTTAGAGGTGTACCGTGATGTACATTCTTATCCTAAGCCGTACAAAGTACCGTGTAACGACCCTAGTCGTGTTGAGTGAATAAGTGTTTATGTGGACAAAGTCATACTATACAGCTATGTGAAAAATCCGTTTTTAAACTTGAATTTTTTTTTTTTAAATATGGACTTGAGTACAAAGTTAAATAGAAAGTTATTAGTTAAATACGCACTAAAATTTACTTGGTAATAATCTAAAATGTTCGAATGCTGACAAACAGTTTAAAGTATCAACAACAAAACTAGTTTTAATAGTATCTCGTTTAATATCAAATACCTAATTAAGTTATCATGGAACTATATTTGTATCTACAATGCTGATTGTAGTACTCAAAAATATGAGAGAAATATATGTTTTATGCAAGTCCGTTGACTAAAAATGAAATTTTAAAATTTTAATTAACTAGAAGCCATTAAAAATATTTCTTTTTGCATTTCACAAACAATGTATTATATTATATTATAGTATACATGGCGATCAAAATTTTACTTTGCAGCAAGTGGTTCGATGAAATAACTTTATCTGTGCTAAAAAAAAGCTTCAAATAAAATCCTTATATGAAATAATAAAACATAGTTTTTAGTGTACAAGTAAAAAATGTCGATGGGTAGTTTTAGAGAGTAACTTTTAAAAGTTAATTAAATTAAAAACCTAATTAAAATTATTGAAAATGGTAAGAAGTAAAACTTTGGAAAATACAATGTCATAATGCTTCATAATTTTTTATACTATTACTTTTCTAGCCACTTGCTTTCGGTACAACGATATAACAGACCAAAAAAAAAAAACAAAATAAAAATCGTGTTTATTATTCTTCATTTGAAAATAAAATTATCTAAAATAATATTTGACGCTAACAAAAGTATTTTAATATCGGTAGTTTTAACGTTTTATTACAACACTGTTAGTATGACTTACACTTGTATTGGTTGAACAAAAAGTGAAGAAAACTATAAAATGAAATAATGTGTTCATAGTATTATGATTGATAAGTTGCTCATTCCAGAGAAATAATATATTTGCTTATTTGAACTCGAGGGAAACGAGTATTTATGATAATATATTTGATTATATATTTATAGAAAACCAAACGAGCAATATGATAATGAAATATTCATATTATTAAATATGCTTCTTACGTTTATTCCTGGAAATTGATTGTAATAACGAAGAAAACACAAATTTCGCGTTTGCTTTATCGTTTTCATAAAATAATTATCATTACCACTATTTTGTAGAAATAATGCTGGTTGTAACACTTAATTTTGATATCACAACAATAATCAGAATAATACTCATAATTATCTCTTATACAAGTAATTTCTACTTCGGTTTAGACTTAGAGCTAAAAATGTGTTGGATATACAACTTTTTTTTTTTTTATTGTCTCCAAAGATATGATAACATTAAAATCGCTTGATCGTCTTCTTAGAAGTGATTTTATTATGCTCAAAATTCAAATTTACGTTAATACATTTAAATCTGTACATTCTGCTCTGATGACGGCAGAATTTTATATTGTTGTATCACAAGTTTTAAATAGGCAATCTCAATTTTTTAGCACGACATGTTAGACTCATCATATAAGTAACATAATGTCTATAACTTGTCGTTCATTCTATTCCCCCCATCACTATAAATATAATGTATAGCAAAAACAAAAAGTAAATAAATGTAATATCAAGTCATATATTTTAACTTATCAAACGTGCATGAAAAATGTTTCGGGTAATTTATTTTGACCCGATATGAAAAACTTTATGAAATTCAAGTTAACAGGTTGTATAGTTTTTTGGACGGATACAATATATTCTACGAGGTAGGTGATATGTCCTGTCAATTTTGGTGAGTAAATATCCATCGTAGAATTGATGTAAGGGATTTTTGAACTAAACAGTGTCCATGCTTCTTCCGAAGTAAATCCAAGTTCTTGCAAATCGTCCACGACGACGTACATTAAATCATCGTTTAACTGTTCTAGCTGAGTAGCTACAAATTTAGATTGATGAACATCTGTGATGTTAATCTCCAGGTTATAAAAAATATTTTGAAACAATGTGTCATCGAGCCCTAATTGTCTGGCTACTTTCGGGAATGGTTCAATTAGTCGTCGGTAGATATTATTCAGCTTTAAGCTGATAACCAACATCGCTTTGTCAACTAACATTTTCTTTAGGCTCAATTGTAACGTAGCAAAATACTTCCATATCAAGTATAGAACGTTCACTTCTACCACTCGGATTACCATGCTGTGATATTTTAAATGGTCGAACGACTGGCAAATCCACGCATAAGGATTACTGATGATCTTGTTCTTTTCTGTGTTCAACAGTAGCCTTGTGTTCTCCCAGTTGAGATGGACTCCGGGTATCTTCTTGAACAGTATCTCATCGTGGTCATGAATAATCGAAAGAGTCAAATTCTGGAGTACAAACCGTTCGGCACAATCGTACATTTCTTTCAGGGTTTCATCAACAAATTCGTCGCTCTCATAGAGCATTTGTCGAAGATTGTTCACCGCATGATTTATGTCGGAGCCATCGATCAATAATTGTTCTCTGAGGTTTTCCGGCAAGTATTTGTGTAGTTGACACAAGTCGAGCTGCAACATGAGGTCATCCACCAATTGATCATCTGCAAAGTAATCATCTTTTTTGGTGGCTTCCATGGATAACTCGCGATCCTCGGCCGCTAGTAGCCTCAGGTGGACGATCCACAGCCAGTTATGTGCATTGATTTTTGATATATACAGCAGAGCTAACATACGCGACACCGTTTTTTGCGGTTTTATATTGGTTTTAATATCTAACGCGTTCCTAAAATTACGTTTATTCAACTCTGAGTTCGCATTAACCAATACGTCTTCTATTATTAGAACGTTCATACATTGCACCGCTTCCAGTTTTCTCTTGTACTTGAGTATAGATTTGGATTTGTTTCGCAGACACTTCGAGTCTTTACAAAATGTTGTCAACAGATTCGTATCATCTTCATGAAAATCAAACTTTTGGTCTCCGCTTTCGTTTACTTGCTCCAACGTTTCCACGCCGTTCAGAAGCTCTAACAATTGTTTGTTATAGATAATTGTATCTAGAGGTTGTTTCACCCATTGAATTCCCTACACAAAATCATTGTCAAAATTATAATTGTATAATCAGTTAATGTAATTATGTATTCTAGGGGTCCATACACGTTTGCGAACCAGATTAGTAATAGAAAAAGAGTGTCTCAAATAAGTATTTCAGATATGCATTGTTTGTTAGCACCCTCTTAATGAACTTATTATAATAGCAATTACTTGGATGCTGTTGTTTTTATATTCTTCGGCCGACGTTGAATATTTTAACAATATATGAAATAAAAATAAAATTAACAATGATTTAACGTTTACTAAATTTATAATTGGAATCATCATTAAGACAGTGCCTTTTAAAAAATAGAAATACACTGTACGCGTCTAAAAAAATAATGAATTTATAATATTCGTTTTTAAGTATTTTAAACGACGCCTTTGTTGTTCAACTTAATTTTTACTTCGTAAAAACTTTCTACATAGTTTTTTTTTAATTTACAACAGTCAATAAAGAGGCATGTGTTTGAAAACATATTATGGAAAATAAAGCAGTAAACTGTACACATATTTAACTGCTCATATTTTAATAATTACTTTGGGTTCTTCGAATACACAGTTTTGTCTATACCGGGTGATCATTTTATTGTGAACCACTCAATATCTAATAGGGTTTAATAGGAAATAAATGTTTTTTTTCCTAGTGTTTTTATACAAGGTGATCTCAATTTTTCACAATTTTGTTTTTACCCCCTCCCAAATTCTTTTTTTATAGCAAATTTGAAACTTAAATGGAACGCATACGTTTCATTAACTTTTTAAATTGAGAATAAAGCACTATAAATTTTCACTGGTCGATAACCAGTTTTGGATAACTATTTTTAAAGAAATTGAAGTTTCAAGTTTAGGGCAGGAGGAAAGGTGGTGTGTAGTATTATTTTAATCTGCTTGCACATCCACTCCTATCCTGACCTTTAACCTCTTATACTATTAAAGTTACCAAAGTTGATATAAAAATAATTAGTTTGGTAGAGGTGTAGGAACATACAAATTTGTGGAAAATTGAAATAAAATTATATAAAAACACTATGAAAAAAAAAAAATTAAATTAATAATTAAACTCAATGAGATATTTTAGTGGTTCACGATAAAAAGGCCACCTTGTAGTATGGTAGAAAATGTATGACTTTAGCTAACCTTTCGCGAAAATTAATTTAATTAAAGTCTTAAACTTTGATTTTGTCTGTTATATGTCGGGAACGCCCCAATAGCCTCAAAAAATTTTAATATTTTTATTTATCATTATTGATTAGGTATTAATTGTATTATTTTTCTTGTAGTCATTATAGTTATATTAAAGAGACACCTAAAAGCAATATTATACGCCGTACACCTAAAATAACTGACTCGTGACGTGCTCTTAATGTAGTAATCTATCTTTGTCTCAATTTAACATAATCTACTGTATTTTCTATAAAATTTATATAGAGTCATTTGTTTTGTTAGACTTTTTTTTTCTGACCTCCAGACATGTTATAACTATTGCACATATCTTCAATTATAACTATATAATATAGCTGTTATTCTATAATAAATATTCCAACCTTACCCTTAATAATTAACTAACGATAAAACATGTCAAGTGCGTCATTGCCCAAAATGTAAAATAACATTTGTATAGTCAAACGTTATAACGTCGTTTGTTGTTACGATTAACACAGGTTTTATTCAATATTTATTCATTGGTAAAATAACACACATGATACAATATTACTTTATACTTCTTTAAACGCTGTGACGTAGGTAGTTGGGAGCAAGGTAATTCGTCACTTAAATAAGCATGTAATTTGTTTCTAAATATTTGTTGTAAGCCATACAACGTCGTAAATTTCGGTGTATAATTTACAAAATAATGCAAACAAGTTATGAAAAGGTGATAAGAATGAAGCACACAATCTTTATAATTAAGGTATAGTATCGCATTTTAAAAAAAAACCAATTTTCAAGCTGAAAATTATGTAGCATATCAAAATATTGTTGTTTTCTTATTTAATATAAGGTGTTCACGTGGAACGAGTAAATATTAATTAATATTAAATCACTGCAACATATCAAATATAATACAACTATACAAACATAGCAATCGTACAACGACCACGCACGTAGGTATACGTTATATATTAACCATAGTTTGGGTACAAAGCCGAGAATATTGTTTTCAGTAAATTTTTATTGTAACAACCTAAGAGACTAGTGAAAATATGTTTTTGTTACAGGTCTGTATAATCTTACGGGCTGTTCAATGTTTGCGGCCGTTTGAATTGAACATAAACGCTGCGGATTTTTTAACAAAAAATGTTCACAAAGTCGGAAATGTATTGAAATTCAATTTGTACGACAATACGTGCTACACGATAAACGAAAAACCCTGTATTCAACAGGTACCGTCGGCTTATCATGCAAATGGAACACAATTCAATATAGCACGGCTGCCCACTGAGATAATCGACACCTACACCGATAGCGTTCCTTACGATGAGTCGATGGTGCCCATACCCAAAACGGCGGCGAATCCTGTGGGAAAAATATTGCCAAGGTATTATACGGCTTTTAAATTGGACAACACCGCTTTGGCTTCGGTCGCCGCCGGCGTGACCCTTCAGACTATAGTTGAGGATTGTACAAGAAAAGGAGAGCATTTCGAGGCGGTCGTCCGGATTATGAACGCCATCGAAAGCGCAGGTATTTCGACAATGTTTAGATTCTGTGTTTTAGCCACTAAGTTAAAGAACGCCGATGACGCAATAATGGAAGATATCTACGTTACGTTCACACGGCTGTTAAACGTTATCGAATGGAAGTTTAGAAATTTCAACATTTCGACTGCGCCAATTCGTGAAATAGAATTTGCCGTTGAAGTTTTACAGAATATTGAACGTTCGCAAAAAGATCAAGGGTACGCATTTTTCGAGACTACGTGTATAGAGTTCACTCATCGGTATGGCAACATGGTCGATTACGTGAGTCCAACTCAATTTGTAAATATGGATGAAACGCATAGTGCAAATAGTCTCATAGAGACAATGTACAGCACTATAGCCGGTGCATCATTTATTTTTTAGGACGTTATTGTACCAATTATAAGTGCACATACATTGGAATTACTGTTTGATATGTAACTCATCGTAAATTTATTACCGTTCAAAATATTTTATTTATCTTCATAGTTCTTACCTCTGTACGGTATCGGACCTTTGTCTAACTGAATCAAAATCAAATTAAAAAAAAATAAAAATACCTAGTAAAACACAACAAAATAGCCAAAAAACACAACAAAAAAAAGAAAAAAGTTTTAGCTTTGTCGAGATCCACTTTTCAAGTACCGAAAAAAGCAGCGTCACACTGATCAATTAAAGTTCATATTATTTTTATTTTAAAATTGTTATTTCACGAACCGGTATAAACTAAAAGTGTATAATAAATATTATATTATTAACCTTTTGTAATTATTAATAACACTTAATAGTAATCATAGTAAAAGTCATTAATACATTTTTAATGGTATCGTTAGTAATTATATCAACCTATAGTTTCTTTTTTCAAAAATTATTATATTGCCAACAGTGTTCCTGATTTGCCAGGGCGTATACACGCTTTCATTGGATTAGCCTAAAAAATGGCTTTTTTAAATTTATAACAAGTTTAAAATAAAAACAAATTTAAATTTAAAAATTAAAAAACTATTATGAGTTATTAAATTTAGTAAAAACTTAATTCAGAAAAAAAAACTTAAAAGCCTATTTCTTAAGTGTAGAGAACAGCAAATAAATAAATTGGAGGGCGACTGTTAAATAAAAATAAAAATTAATATCTTTAACAATCACCCTATTATAAATAAAGTAGTAAAATAAAATAAAATAAATTTATAAAAGTTTAATATTTCTATAGTCCTAATTTTGTTATTTTGTTGTCTGTTGTTGTTGCAAAATTATATATTTTTTTTCAATGGAGTACAGAAAAAAAACTTCGTTAAAATAATTATCATATTCACTCCACAATTGGAGATAAAATTATTAATCAAATATGTAGAATTTCATGGATATATAGGCTAGTTCTTATTTATAGACGAGGTGATAAAAGTTAGGTATTCATTAAGGACAACATTTTTGAATACCGTGAAAAAAATTATTATTTTTAGTTTAGTCGTGATTACTCATTCCCTTTACGTGCCGCAAGAGGATTGAATTTTAAACATCCAGTTCAACAAAATGATAGTTTTGTCTTTTTTCACTTTATTTTTATAAAATATCTAACTTGTCAAAAAAATGTATACATTTTAATTTGTAAGAAAAAGAACATACAAAAAAGATTATTATATCTATTATCATTAATCTGTTAGTTTACGTATAACTAAAAAAATAAAACATTTTATTATTTCAGCATAACTTATCAATTTACGGTTATTTTTTTATATTTCACTACGTTTAAATATGTACTGAACAAGTCAAATGTAATATAGGTAATGTCCTAAAAAATCATTTGCATATGTTGTTAGTCCACTACTTTTATTGTCAATAAATGTAATAAAATAAAATAAATATTATGTAAGTGCATATTATAGTCCTAAACGAATAATTTGATCCATTTAATATAACGTGTTAAGTGTTGATAACGTCACACAACCGAGAATCAATTAATATACAATTTATGTATTAATATTGTTCAATTATATGTATATTATACTATCCGGGCCAGATATCACAATTTGAAAACGTTTGAAATATACATTTAAGGGGATTTGTTTTTGAAATAAGATCCAACAAAAAATAGTACTAATTAATTTTACCAGTCAGGCACGAAGATAATCAAATATTTACAAACAGTAATTATTACCGTAGGAAGGGGTGTCAAATTAAGTGAGGAATTCACAAAAGATGAAAATCAGAAGTAATTTTACTACAAGTCAGTTTAGAATATCAGGAATTTAAAATAATAATTTCTTCGACCTATTTTTTTTTTTAGATTAGTCATAATTACAGAAATCAGAAAATCATATTCCGCTCAAACAATATGCGAAGGCAGCGAAAAATTTATGTAAATATATATAATAAATTAATACGATTTTATTTTTTTTTTTTACGAAAAAAATAGGCATAGGTATGAGAAGTTTGTATAATAATCTTTTTAGTACGGCCATTGTCGTTTAAAATTCAAACATAATATAGTTTGTACATTTTTTTTTTATAAAATGGATATTTTTAAAAATGAACTAGGAAAACAACAGAATTACCTTTTTTGAATAGATTTCAACCATTTTGCTTCTCGAAAGAGGGGGGAGGGTTAGTAATGATGAGCAAAATTAACCAAAATAAGTTTCATATGTTAATGAAAAATAAAAATAAATTAATTAAATATAATAACAAAAAAGATGTTTTGTAAGTAAGCCCCAATTATTATTTTAGTATAAAAACTTTGAAAGTTTATAGAGCGCTATCTGTTACCAAAATTTAACAATATTATACGCGAAACCATTATGATCGTTTTGAATAAGTTTGAGAATATAATACAATGCTTCTTACAGCGTCGATATTACTGTTATAAAATTTGTTTTTTTGTAGTATATATATAAAATAAATAATAAGGTGAATATTACAAATGTAGGTTGTAGCTACGTCAGTGTTTTTATACCATTCTTGACTCTAAATTATGTTTTCCGCCTTCTCAGAAAACAATTGTATAATAAGTAATAACAAGATAATATCACATTACAATAAACTTTACACTTCCTAATTACATTCAAAACAAATCATCATATTTTAAAATAGTACTCAAATTTAAATTACATTCTGCCATCTTTTTATGCTTCCAGTAAATATTATAATTTTAATTAATATTGTAAAAAATGTATATCTTCGAGTTATCCGACTACCCTTTTTATAAAATAATAATTTATACGACACCCCGCAACAGCTGTATCTTTTACTGTTTTTTCTTCATATCTTAATAATTTAAAAATATAATCACACTATAATAAGTATGCGGGTAATCTAGATATAGAAGTCAAATATATAATTATACTATATATTAATACTAATATTACAAATAATAATTAAACCGTTCATACAGTCAAAGCTCGGCAGAAAATATATAAATATATATATATATATTTTAATAGCCTTTATTCGATAATATGATGGCTCGTCAGCAGAAAATAGTAATACAAAATAAAGAATTTGTTTTCTAATGAGCAATTGATTACTTAACTATAATTAACTCTAAAATCTAGATTACATTTTATTTTTATATCAAAAATAAACGTATCTATTATATTTATAATTATAATTGTTATTTATTATTTTGTCAACTAATAATTTAGGTGTCGATGGTATAAACACTTTTGATAATAAATCATTGATATGAAAATGAGAAAAACTAAAAATAATGTTCTGTACATTTTTAGGTAAAATAAAATACTATTTAATATTTGATAAGAATAATTTAATAAGGGCAATGCATTGGTGATGAATGATAATCTAATTTGTTTATTAAGTACCTAAGTAATTAGTGAACGTTAATAGAAGGTAGATAAGCAGCTGCAAACTTTTTACAGCTGGTGTTATGTTATATCAATCTATAACATGTATTAATTAACATACAACAATATCGAATAATAAAATAAACTCATTATTTTATTTTTAGATATAATTATTATAAAAAAACGTATATTGATATACTGTACATGAGTCAAAATGCCAAATACGAACGAACGTTTGGAGCGAACCCGTAAAATTTTTTTTGAAAATCTGCATATCTGTTACAATGAAAAGAATGTTGTCAAATTTGTTTAGATTTTTTTTGCATTATTTTGGCCATGGTCGTAAAAACTATTTTTAGTTTTTTCTTGACACTCCTTTTTATAATTTTTTATAGTATCTTTGGCCGTCAATAGAAAAAACTTTTATTAAAAATCAGTTTCTTATGTAAAGTTATCTCAGCTTTCTGAAAAAATAATGATTTTTTTTACAAATAGCAGAAAACTATTAAAATTGACTTAATAATCTAAAAATTTGTTTTTTTTGTTTTCCAAAATTTAACAATTTTTCTAATCTTTTTTTCAGGAAGCTGAGATAATTTTACATAAAATGTGTAAATTTCAAATTGGGTTCTTTATAAAAAATGCTCAGAAAAACAAAAAAACAAAATAGGTGAAATTTCATAGATAAGTAAAAAACAGGGGAAAACAACCACGGTAATCAAAGTAGTTGAAATAATTATGTTAAGAAATAAGATCTGTTTTTTCGACCATAGTCAAAATAATGGGAAAAAAAATCCAAATATATTTGAGAACATTCTTTTTATCGCAACAGACATGTAGTGTAATTTTCAAAAGAAATCTGAGGGGGTCGCTCCAAACGTTCGTATTTGGCATTTTGACCATGTATAATTATTATATTATTATTCTATAAATAAATATTTTATAATAACTATAATATATTTATATTATAATATAGTTGATTATTTAAAAAAAATAGTTTCATTATTATAGATTCAGTTATAAATATTAAGTGCCATATTATTTAAATGTATTATAAACCGTTGTGCTTGTGTCAAGGCTAAATTGAAATTCAATAGCTGTTGTATCTAGTTGTTATTTTATCGTATTCGTTCAGATGTATAGCATAATTATGTGTATCATAAAAAATCATTTATTTTATAGATTGACTGGCCAAATGAAAAAAATATATTCAATATCCATATCCTATAAAGATGTCCATTTAATGAAATGTTTAGTTATTTCTCTTAAACGGTAAAAAACTGTCTTTTTTATGAATTCATTTGAACGAACGGATGTGATAATATAATATGTCATGTTATTTCTACTAATTATTTGTTAATAATAATTTTAAAAAATATGTTCTTTTAAAATTGTATGCGTTATTTGATAATACAAAAATGAATGGCCAAACAATAATCATAAGTTATTTTGTAAAACAATAAATAATATACAGATATATTTAGGGAAAAAATTCCGTTAGGTACCCATAAAAAAGCTTACCAAGTAGGGATCAGCATGACTTTCTTGATATTTAATTTTTAGTCAATTATTTTAAATAAATCTTTTATTATTAAGAAATGAATTCAACAAGTATAAGAATGTAGGAGAAAATTTTTGTTTTTATGATTTACTTCTTTAAAGCTCTGTAGTGAATGTACTATATCAGATAAAGTTCTGGCACTCTTCACTGCACTATTATACACGTCAAGGTGATTATAATAAGAACCTAAATAACACACAGTCTTTTTCCAAATTCAATATCATTATACCGCATGGGTACAAAATCCGATCACCAGTATAATATTAATGTTCAGGAAAGTATCTATCTTGAATCTTCTCATTATTAATGTGTATCATTTATAACAAGCTCTTAAAGTTATCCAATTTTTCATTTCAATTACCATACTTGATTTTTAAAAAAAAAAAAAAAAGAGTAAAATATATCATAAAATTATATATACGTCTACGTATACAATTAAGTTTAAACAGGGAGTTCAATTTAACGTAAAACCCACATTTTCTTTAGAAATAAATGTTATTTTTAGTTTTTTTCAGAGTGGTATCAACTTTTGAAACTTAAATGGTTTACATTTTATTAACTTTTTAGATTAAAATAATTTGCTGATCATTTTGACCGGTCGACAGCCAGATTTGGGTTATTCCTCTAAAAGTTACTAAAGTTAGTAATGCGCCCAGATAAAATTAATACTACATTCCACCCTTCCTCCCGTCCTAGATTCTAGTTACTTTAAAAATAATTAAGCAAAACTGGGTATCGAACTGTCAACATTTTCAGCAAACTATTTCTTAATATAGAAGAAGTTAATTGATTGTATACCGTTAATATTTCGAAAAAAGTCGATAGAGCTTTGGAAAAATAATAAGAGGTGAATATTTGGTATCTTCACAAAATGTTTAATACCACGAATGTTTTCTAAAAGAACAAAATTGCAAATATTTTCCTAGAAAACTAGTGGCTCGTGCCAAACTATCACCCTGTAAGGTTATTTTATTTTATTTGTACAATTCCAACGACACCATAAATATGGATTAAACAGAAATAGAAAAAATGATGCGGTATGAGCGGGCAACGGAATTTTGAAAGTCAAAGAAAAATACATGTTTACGAGTATGAGATTTTTAAACGGGTCGGGTGGATTTTTGCGCTTTTGAGCATGAGCTAATCCGAACTGAATGGGTTCGGTGATGAGCCCTGGGAGCGGCGGCGGCGGCTATAAAGGCAAAATGGGGGAGGCCAAATTGAATAATCTAACGCGACAAAGGTTAATGCGTTAAAGGGACAAAGTGGAACGGCGGCGGTCTGATCTGTCATTAGAGACCCGTGTCACGTGGCGGCGACGGGCCAGGAAAACTTTGTGCCTCCGGCAAAAGCAACCGACCGAAAACGGCAAGCCAAAAATCATATTTTATTCAACGGTCACACTGAACAACTGACGGTGGTCGCATAACGTCTATAATAATAAAATACACCGTACCTGCTATAATGTATACCTAATAATATCGTTCAACAATGCAATTTATTCAAGTACACATTTTCTACATTTATTATCATAATAATATGCAGTTGTGACAATAATAATCGTAGTACTTTGTGGTCGTGGTCGAACGGCAAGTTTGATTTTTTAATGACTTAAGGTGGGCCGCCGGTCACTCGTGTTAGTATACTTACATAAAAAATATACACTTTGTATCATGTACCGCCTGTATATTTTACGTACGGTGTACCTACATACTATTTAGTTATTTGGGCAAGTCTTATACTTATATAATATTTATGTTTTTTTCCCGAAATGCTTTTCTGTCCGTGATACGATTTTTCGCCACGAGATGGTTTTCCCAAAAACGTGCATAATTTAACGGTGACATGCTTTGCTAACATCAAACATGCTTATTAACGGCTTATAGGTACGAGCATGGTTTAAATATTTCATACATTCGACATATTAAATATTTTAATCTGCCGTTTCGTTAAAATAGGGCCGTATAAAAAACATGACCCGGAAAAAGTACTCTTTACCTAAAAAAAAAAAACAATAATGTAGGTTGATATATTTAGAAAAACTTTCGACCGACCACGCAAGTTAGCTGTTGTTACCGTTTAAATGATTAATAGTATAATGGGAGTTTGGACTTTTCGCTGAAAACCGTTTTCAACCTATCGCCATAAATTAATTTTAATATTTTCAGATTGCGAAAAAAAGGCAATTTGTCAAAAGTCGATATGCTTCAAGGCTTTCATAGTTGTTTTGTAGGAAATGTATAATTTACATATTTAATAATATCCACTAACAAAAATCAATAGGTATCGCATCAGACATCAAAGAAAAGTTATTGACATTTTAATAATACAAGAGTAGACCAAAAAAATCTTAATACTTCAATTTTTGCATTTATGGTACAATATATTTTATATTAAAAAAATAGGCTATAGATTTTTAACAAAACCAAATAATATTTTACATACACAGAAAAAAATATATAGTTGGTCCAACGAAAGTTATGGTTAATATAGGGAAACAAACAATTTCTTTTTGGAATAACTAAATAAATAGTTGCTGGAACTAAATTTTTCCTGTGTATTAAGCAATTAATTTAGGTAATAGTAGTACATGAACTGACTAAATGACAAAATTCAAAGTACAAAATAATTCCTTTAAATTATGTATTTTTAATTAAATTTAATATTCAATTGTAAAAATAAGCAATTTTTTCAGATTATATCAGTAATAAGTTTTAAAAAAATTCTATAAAAATGGAATGTAATCATCCCTTGTTATAATGTTTTTTAGCGCTTACATTTTTATTCAATGATTAATTGATCGTTTACAAATTATTCAAAAAGGGAATATTTTTGAAATGGTTATTTAGAATTTAAATTTACTTCTATTTGTAAGTACTTATTTAATATTACTTCCAAACGATACGACGCCGTACATATTTTGTACTTAATTATTTTGAAATAATGTCAAAATATGTTATGATTTTTATTATAATTATCAAAAGTTGATCCGTTGCTCGTTTGCATAAGAATATTACATTTTACAAATAAATTAATGTCAGTTAAGAAAACCAACCATACGTGAACTTTTTCAACAAAACAGTTGATTATTGCTGATAATTTGTAACGGGCACACGCGTACCTACGTCAGTATTTTAATTATATTAATAATAACAAATGATGCGATTGCAGTATAGAGTTGCGACTAATAGTATATTCCGGGTATTGACATGTATTCAACCGATACGGTACAAATTAATTGGCAACGCGATTGATGTAAACTTATGACATTCTGTTAAGCAGGTACATTTTTGTACCAAACATATTATGCATATAGTATAATATACTTATCGGTTAACGTTATTATCTCAGGTCGTAAAAATCAGACACAATTTTATTTGCTTCCGTCAGGTAAATGGATTACGAAGTTTATTTTTCATTATTCTCACGCGTCCGAGCAGTTAACTAAAGTCATCAGTTTTGGCTGTATAAATACTCCCTGTATCCAGCCAATATGCATCAGACTTCAGTTTCATCTTGTTCAAGTCAGACATCAACATGAGGGCATCTTTGGCAATCGCTTCAATCTTGGTGGCCTTATTGGCTGTCCACGCTACCGGCTTGAGAATCAAACACAATGGTGAGTACCGAAAAGTACCTATTATACATTCGCATTAAAAACATTTATTAGCTATAGTTTAACGGTTATTACAAATTTTGATTTTTTAAATGATTACCTAACTGTATGTGTATTATGCTCAACTGGTGTACATTTTTTTTTTTAACTTCCTTAACCACTCAAAAAACTATAAATATATAACTCAATATTAAGGTTCATTACATTTTAAGTTGCATGTATTCGAAATACTTGAGATTTATATAAAGACACAAAAGTTATCAAAACATCTTAACAGTTATTTAAAGTTTAAAATAGTCATTGAAATATTTAATTTACATTTACATTAATTTTAACTAAATTAACTGTTTTTAATTGAAAGTTAACAACAAATAGGTACAATTTTCAGCTAAAAGTGAAAGAGTAAAATGTACCTATATTTAATTCAAAAATTAAATACTTAAAATACAACAAAATTGAGTTGTTTGTCATTGTTAATATTGATAAAACTTGTAAATTAAAATTTTAAAATAACACTCTACAATTTATTTGTAGACAATTTAACGATTATTTAGTTTCTATTTTGCCTTTTAATTTTGAGTAGTTGTTGGATAAATAAAGTCAAGTGGGCTAAGTGTATACATAGGGGTAACCGAAAACAAAGCTGACGTTTTAAAAATGTATAAACAGCTACATTTAATCTTAAAGTTGTATAAGTAGTACATTTTTTTTATAATATTCTACATTGTTAGCAGCATTATTAAGATAACATAAGTTACAAATGTGTGCGAGAATGAACCGTTCGACCACTTTTTGAAAAATGTGTATATGTTACTTAATATGTGAAAGCGTATTCAAATTTCCCCGGAATAAAGGGGTTTCTGGGGTAAATGTAAAATCGAATTTTAAGAACTTGCTATTAAAAGTAAACATTTTTTTCCCTATGGTATATATATTAAATTTATATTTATAATATACACTTGTACAATTTTATAGAAAAAAACTTTTTATTAACTAATGGATGTAAATGAATTCTGCAAAAAATACGTTTCGAAAATTGTTTACAATTAGCCCATCTGACCATTTGAACACTTTGAATTATAGTATTTTTATTTCGTTTCCATTTTATGTTTTACCATAAATTATAAATATTTTTCAAATATGTTGAGCTAATATTTTATATTTTACCTTACAGATTCAAAAAATAACCAAAACAACCAACAGTTTACCTTATACGACGATGAATATGATATTAACAATAAAAACAACAACAACTACAATTTGAACAACAACAACAACTGCAATGACAGAAATTGCAACAACAACAATAACTGCAATGGCAGAAATTGCAATTTAAACAACAACAACGGTTTGAACAATAACAACAACTTCAACAACAACGGTTTGAACAATAACAATAACTTCAACAACAACGGTTTGAACAATAACAACAACTTCAACAACAACGGTTTGAACAATAACAACAACAACGGTTTGAACAATAACAACAACTTCAACAACAACGGTTTGAACAATAACAACAACAACGGTTTGAACAACAACTACAATAACAACTACAACAACAACTGCAACTACAACAACAACAACTGCAACAACAACAACGGTAACAATGACTACGACAATTCGTTTGAGGCCAAGGACAATGGAAATAATTCTGGCGAGCAATACGAAAGTTCAAATAGTGTCACTGTCAGCCCATCCAACAGTCTTAGCAACGGCATTACTAAGAAATTCGCCGCTCTGGAAAAGATAATCGCCAACGAACAACAAATTTCCAACAACAACATCGGAGTCCAAGACATTCAAAACCCGGTCAATGTAAGACAAGTTGTCGTCAAAATGTCCCGTCAGTCGACGCCTCAACGCCACTTCGTCAATTTCCAAAACGGTCAGATGACGAACATAGATAACGGCCACTTAGAATACGTGTCAATTAACCAGAGAAACGACAATGTGTTTGTCCAATACAAATTCAATCAGCTCAAGACCGTCGGATCTTACAAATCAGATTTGCCCGAGGCCCAAAACGGTCGATTCAACGTTCAGCTCAACAATGTCCGCACCGACGTGTCGTCCAGTTTCAACGCCGGCCAAGGTATCATCAGACCCGCCCAGTTTGAATACGCTGACCTCACCATCAACAACGAGAATGGTCAAGAAACTCAAGTTTTGAACGAGCCCGTCCAACAGAAATACTTGAACGTCTTGGAACAGACCATTTCCAACGCAGTGTACGAATCTACCCACAAGGGATTGTTGGCCAAGCTCAAGGCGGAAATCCAATCTCCCATTACATTCAACAACAACGGCCAACAAGGAAAATTATACGACATGGCATGGCAAGAAAATAACAACAACATCCAAATGAACAACATTGGTGTGCAAAACATACAAAACAACCACAAGCAAATCGATTCCATGTCCTACACGCGTATGGACGCCAACACCTACAGAGTACGTTTCACCACCAATTTGAACGATGTCCAATGGAACGGTGATTTCAGCGGCAACCTTAATGGAAACAACGTGCAGGCCAAATCTTGCAACTTCAACGCCAACAACATTCTCGTCCAAGTATCCGTTGTCAAGTCGATTAACAACCAACAGTGCCAGAATGTTAGAACCAACGTTAACGTCGACGGTCTGAGGTACAGCTGCGATGGACAAATTCAACAGAACATTGACAACATAATGCAACAGGATATGCCCCGCTTCATCAAGCACTCTTTGGAAGCTTACATGAAGAAGTCTGTCGGACAAGAAATCTGCAACAACAAATACAACCAGAACAACCAATAATGTGGTGGTATAATGCTATTTGAATAAACATTTTTTAACGTATTTTTTGTTTTCTTTTACATAAATGTAACTATTTATTTTCCAAATTTTGGTAGTAGTCCAAGTAGTCCAAGCATGTAGTAAACACAATAATTGATAAAATACATTTATTTTTCAAACATAATTCTAAAATATATATTTAAAAGAGTTTAAATTTTTTGTCTTTAATTGTGTTATCCGTAGCACTCGGATAAAAAGGAAAAAAACCTCTACGAGTAAGTTTAGAACTCGCAGGTTCTAGGTATATTATGTTCGAACTCTAAGGCTCGAAGTCGACAAACTCTTGGTGCTCGCATACATTACAATGATAATTAGTAATTACGGTCGTTTCTCTTGACGTACGACGGACTGTGATCGTGTACGTTAACAATTATTAAAAAAAAAAAAAAGCGCACGCAAATAATTATTTGGTGTAATGAAAGATATCTAAAGACTTCCTGCGCATATTCATAATAGTATACGGTCGTTTTGGTAGGTTAAACTCATACAAAAAAATAATCTATTATATATTATAATATTATGTTCTGTTATTGAACACATCGGTTGTCGATTATTATTTTGATTATAATAATTTGTAAGACTTAACCACGCGTAGGCATTGCACCGGGACACGGAGAGTGGTCAACGAAATTAATCGCTTAGGAGGAAACACGGGGAGAGCACACGACTATTCGCAGACAACGAGAGGATAAGACAATTTTTTTTTCTGTAAAGGGGGAGGAGAGAAATCAATTTTGAAGCACATACGGTGACCGTGTCTCGGCGATACTAATTATATACACACAAACTGTCCCGTTGGGGCTACCGCATTGGACAGTCACTTGAGTGGACTATATAAATACATAATAATATATACTTAATAATTATTATTGTATTTGTAAAAAAAAAAATGTACGTATGTATATATATAAATTACCGCATGAGACACACAACGCACCGGACGTCTGACCGGTACGCATTAATAACAACAATTTGGTATACAAAAATATATTGAACACATTAATAACCGACTGTATATTATTATATTTGTATTGTTATTATTATTAGTTTTACCATGAACAAAAGATTAGTGTGCGTGTCTCGTATACTGTACATGGTAGCAGTTTTGTTTTGTACAGCTTTTTACTCCTTTTCATTCGTCGATCGGATGGCATTTGAATGTATTTTTTTGTTTCGTTGCTCTCATTATTCCTACCCTAATCAATGGGTTTAAAAAAAACATACACATGTGGACCAAACATTTAAACCCGTTCCCCTCGCCTATTAATTGAAATTGTTGTAACGTACAAAAATTAAACTAAAAGAAATAATAATAACAAAATATATATATGAACACCAAACCGTCACGATGTGTTTTTTGTTTCCACACGCGACAGTCGGTTACCGCTTTACCATGCTCTTCGTTCCAATCTTTTCAGCAGCTGTACACCACCAATTTTGTTCAGCATAAATAGAACCACCACAATAAAACCAGAGAGATCGTTTATGTTATTGACACGATTATTATTAATAATTTCTGAATGTTATATAATAATATCACTTTCGAGGTACCAGTTCTCTTTGAAGACATGGATTCGTCTTAAGTGTAGCTATCTGCTATGCTGGCTGAATTCTTTTACCCAATGGGTGGGTCAAGAATTTTAGCAATATTATTTTAATACGTTTTGTTAATAACATTGTTATTATAAAAAACATCTTAGTATAATTATTTTCAAGTTACATAATGTTATAGATCACATTATATTATAGAAAAACGAGTCAGATGGGTATAAACAAAATAAGAGGCAAATAATTTACTATAACAGTTGGAATAATGTGGCCGTCTGTTTTTTGGTAATGGAACACTACTTTAAAAATGCTACATTTATTATCAGCTAAATGTGGAAACGCATTTTGTGCAGTCAACTTGAAAACTAGACGATGCCACGTGTTTATCGACTTAAAACTACACTACCAGAGTATTGAATAATTATGAACTACTAACCTACTAATACATACAAAATAAAATAGTCATTTTTTAGTGCTCTAGATCGTAGATATATTATGACAACATTTAATACAACGAATCCTAAATAATAAAATAATTTAGTTCCATTCTTCAAAATATAATGTTGGTTCTATCCCGAATAGTTTTTGAATTCGATTTTTTTCAAGTTAATGTTTAAATAATTAAAATCTGTTCAATATGCCTTTAAAACGGTACGAATAAATATGGAAACTCTAACAATATAAAAGTAATATTATTGTATATTAATTATTGTACAAAATCTTTAGCCATGACTGTTTTTTATTTGTTCAGGTTTTTGATGTCGAGACATCGGGAGTAATAAATTTGGTATAAATAGAAACGACTACACCATCCGCTAAGTACTAACTATGCGAGTTAACCACGTCATATACAACGCACCAGTAGGTTATTAATTTAAATCTGCACAGGATAAACGGTTTTATTGTATTATATTACTCCTATATTTAATATCGCCGCTTAACAATATGATGCGGTTGTTTGGAATCTGTATAATCGTATGCGCCGTTCAGTGTGACGAATCATCGCCAGACGAGCTATTGGAATTCGCCAATGCCAAGGCTCAGGTTTATTTAGCCGAAGAAGCTGCCGACTTGGAGAACGTACTGCACGTCAGTCTGTTTCACGGCACGTGCTATACCAACAGATATTTAAACTGTATCAGCAAACCGCCAGTCCGCGCCCGTTTCGGCGTCGACTTGAACATCCCGCGGCCGCCCAGCCACATAATCGAGAGCTACACCGAAGCCGTGCCTTACAGCGAAACGGGTTTTCCCATCGCCAAAACGGCCGACCTGCCGACGTTCGCGAGGCATTTCACGGCTTTTGTGATGGACGAGAGCGACACGACCACCGTTGCTGCCGGGGTGACGCTGAGGACCGCGGTGGAGAACTGCAAGAGCAAAGGAGCGTACTTCGAGGCGTTCGTCCGGATAATGAACGCCGTGGAGAGCGCGGGCATATCGGCAATAAGCAGGTTCTGCAGTCTGTCGGTGAAACTGATGAAGATCCGCTCGAAGATGGACGAGCTCTACGACAACTTCGACCGGCTGTTGGACGTCATGCAAACCAGATTCGAACGGATTTTCATATCGACCGAGCCGATTTGTGAAATACGGGCCGCCCTCCATGTAGTCCAGGGTCTCGGAGTCGAGGCCAGCGCCGTGAAGAAGCACATTTTCTTCACGACCACTTGCCAGGAGTTCTCGTGCCGGTACCACAACATGGTCGGCTACGCGATGGCTGCCGAATACAACGACATGGACAACGAGCACCTTGCAAAACCAATCAAAAAAGAACTCTACAGTAATATATTAAACGCGCACAATTTTTTCCTCTCTATTGCGGACGGCGTTAAAAATAATCCGACCGTCTAAAATCTACAATATAGTTTTCACCTACATAGTACATTATCTGTCGTAAACAATAATTATTGTAACATTGTTGTTATTATTATAATAGATAATGTACATTTTTTTCTTGGATAATACAAAACCGGAAATTATTATTATTTTTGTTTTTTTATTTAATACAATCTGTACCTAATTACCCATATACGTGGTAGACCTGGAAAAAATGGTTTAATATTAATATTTAATCAAAAACAACGCAACGTTTTTAGTATTACGTTAGTTTGTATTTAAAAATATGTGTAATACTATTTCGATATATTTTGTAGCTTAACTACTTTGAATATATTCTCCTCGTTAAGAAAGAGCGTTTTGATACAAAAAAAAAGGTGCTTAAAAATATAATCAAACAAATATTAAGGTTCAAATAACAGTAAAAGAATAATTTTGTGGTCAACAACCAAAATATATGTAATGTTTTAATTGAAGATACATTTTTATTTATTACTTCCTCTAGATTAAAATTAACGCAAATGATGTCTTACTTAATTGACGACCTGGATTGCTGGTATTTAATAAATTATCATAATATAGTGGGTAAATTTTCTACCTAACCTAAACGGTGTACACAAAAAGGTTTTTATCAGAAATTTAGAGAAATACATAATATAATTATTGTACTTGGCTGCATAGTGCATACTTGTAATACTATATTATTTTTTTAATTTACACAACTGGTACCTTTATATTATGAATTATGTTATAGCAGTAATAAATAAATAAATGGTTTATAATAATTTTTAGAAATATTACAATGTTGCAAATATTTTATAAACATACACCATGAATCATATTTTCAGCAGAAAATATAGAATATTAATAACACAGATTTTTCAGTAATATTCTTATTATAAAAATGGTTTTATCACTTCAAATTTAAGCACGTGTGACCTTTGCGACCCTACTGAGCTCTTCTTTTCTATTTTTATTTTACCATTAATAACAATACAATAATATGGCGAATTGTTAAAGAACGTAAACCTTTGTTAATACAGTTTTTAAAAACTATGCAAAATGCATATTATTTAAGTATTTATTATGTATCAACAGATCACAAACCAAATAACAACATGCAAAAAATAGTATCATCGCATAACCATTGTGGAAAAACAGTTATTTTTCTTGTTTGATCAAATGTTCATAGTGTTTGTGTGTAAGTAAAATAATATGAAAAGTTATTTGAAGCCGCCGATGTGCAATACAACGACTCGCAGGAAAAAGTATACAACGACCACGTAGACGTTGTACTTTCAATCGGGACGAAAAACTATATCAGAGTTTATTTGAACATTTTTATAGAAGCATGGAAACATTTAACGCAACCCAACTCAAAGATGAAATGATAAGAAGTTTATCCAGTGCGGGTAATTTCTTCGGAGCGGATTTAGACTTCAAACGCAAAAATAATTAATAGATATATTTTTATAATTGAACGCATTGTAATATTATATTATCGGTCCTATTATTTCGTTGTTTAATAAATATATTTGTTATTATAAATATGTATATTAACATACCCCACTGAAAGCAAAAAATTGCCACTGGCTGCTTAAACTGATTCCAGATGA